CAATTATTAAATTATCTAATCAAAGCCTATGTTGATAGTAATACAAATATTGTGGATCGATTGTATTATGCATGGACTGTTATATTTGTTTACAGAGTTTGGTGGTTTTGATTGAAATTTTATTTAACAAAAGAAAAGTTGCCAAAACGAAAATGTGTGAATATTTTATAACAAAAGTTTCTTAATATTCTATCGAGTTAAATGGTCATTTGTTATTGTTTGTTATTTTATTAGTGATAGACCATAAACTACCAGAGTATACACTTGTTTAGTTCACAAGGATATGAAACGACCTTTCATAATTCAAGAGCAATGAGTGCTATGTGTTCAACAATGATCAGTTTTACAGTTAATGATTTTTTAAATCATGCTGTTTAACTATCAGTTTTAAGTAAAATTAAATCTGATGATAACTTTATTCATTTTACTATTCATCATAAACATTCAAAACACACCATTTACTTTGATAAATAATAACAATTTTTCTAAATTAACGATAAATGATGTTGAAGCAACAATACTTAATGTATTTAAAACAGCAAAAACATTTACTGATAAACTGAAAAGGAGCAGATTCTTAAAAAGAAATAGTGTGTGTGAATTAAAAAAACTATCATTAACAGCTGAACATGAAACAAGTAATGTTCATCATTATATGATTCTGATTTTGAATCCGAAATAGATACAAATGAAAATCATTCTGTTGAAGATGAAAACAAAAAAATCGAACAGTTTAAATTCCGATGAGGACGATGGGGAAGAGAATGATAGTTTATTATCAACAACAACTAATTTATTTTCTGGTATAAGAATATTTGGTACAATTACACGGGATCTTAAATAATCATATTTTAAAGCAAAAATAAATAACGTTAATAAATGTGTATACTAATATTATTTGTTGAAAAAACGTTGATAAACGTGAATAATATTTGTACGACTAACTCAACTATATTCATTATTTTATTTAATAATATAGAAACTTTCAACTCAGACTGGAGTCATCCATATTTGTACGACTAGCTCAACTATATTCATCATTTCCTCCTATCAAAGATGTAGCTGATTATGACTCTAGTCTGAGTTGAAAGCTTCTATATTATTAAATAAAATAATGAATATAGTTGAGTTAGTCGAACAAATATTATTCACGTTTATAAATATATGCATAAGGCTGCCTATTAGCTATTTACAGACAAGAGAAAACATTTATCGGTTGGCATATTGTCAAGAATAATGCAAATTAACAATGATGACTGAACAATTTTTCTTTTTTTTTTCTGTGTGTTTCTGAAGCGTTTCTCCATTCAGATAACTATGTAGACCTATTGTGACTAACTCTTTTTAGCTATTTTTATAGAAGAATTATGAGCAGATAAATGTTTTAAGCACATACGAGGAAAACTTGAAATTCCATGCTACAGTGCAGATTTCTGGTCAACGTAAATGAGTACACCAGGCGTCCTACGGGTCCTTCGACTGATTCTGAGAGTGCCTGGACTGTGACGGACTGAACCGAATGTCGTGGAGTATCTGAATGTAAACTATGTTCTTTCCCACTCAGTTATGTCTCTACAATCTGATCATGGACGCGTCGAGTAACGAAGGCGTGATTAAACGACGGATGCGTCCGAAACTACATCCGTTTGAAGTCTGGAGATGGCACACTGTCGCTCCATCTTCTTACCACAGTTTTACAGTAAACAAACACGAAACAAGCCATGGAACTCCGTGTACTCTTCCGACTGCACATTCTACACGTTCACTTCCTGTCGCTTTTCTAGATCAGAGCCGTAATTGTTGAGCTAAAGGAGCTCGTCCAGACAATATGCAAAGATCAGGCGGAACGAGAGAAAACAGAAGATTCGATCTCAATCAGCATCTACGATAGAACACACACAAATCTCAAATCAGACAACAGCTCATTCATGTGGTTTCAGCTGTTTATTGAAGTTCTACTCCGAATGAAACATTCTCCAACATCGAAAGATGAACTTGTTCAAATCTGTAACGAACATTATCGAGGTAATGATGCAGACCTTGACATTATTCGTGACTTTCATCAAAGCGATCATCCACCTATTACATGTTCTTCTCTAGTAGGGCGAAGAGTAGCATTTCTTTTATGTGTTGATTCAACATTTTCGATGGCAACATGAATAATATTAAGACGCCATCTCAGAGACGACCGTTCGCCTTATACTTGTGAAACTGCTTCAGGAAAGAAGCAGCTCAAGCTTCTCTCTTTAGACTTGACATTGTTGCGCAACATGCCAAAAGTTCGATCTCAGTTTGTTATCTAATAAACAAAAGTTTAAAATAAAGGTACAGCTCACTGGAAAGTATCTCACAACAAATCATTGACATTTGTGAAACTTTCGACTGCACTTGAGAATGAAAGTGGCATATAGAAATCTCATAAACTGTGAGAAGAACACAATGTCGTTTACACTATAAAAGTGATAGAAAATAATAGAAGGAAACCTGATTTTACCCCAAAATCAAGTCAGAGACTTGGGTACCCAATATCCAATAAATAACTTAAGTATACCGACATCATCACTCTCCTTCTCTTTTGCTGGTGCTGCTGCTGAAGGTGTGATAACATCACTTTTTGTAGCCGACGGAATACTACGATGGCGGTCGCTGCCGAATAATGCTTTAAATTTGAATAACAGATCACTGTTTGCACCAACATTTTAAATGCTTTTTCTTTTCTGTTTCGATACATTTTTTATTTCAGTTTTTATTTTATTAAATCCAATATCCAACAACAGAGACCGTAAATTCATTTTCACGGGACAGGCGGTCTTGGCACAACGTCATTTGCTCAGGGACTCGGGTTTACGGGTTCAAAGCAACAAAAAATTTTGTCGACAAGACTCTTCTTGCGTGACACGAACGATATATATCTGCTCTGTACCTATTTGTGGTATAATAGAATATCTGATGACAATACTTTTCTGTCGATTGAACTGGATGTTATAGGAAAAATTTCATTTTTCTGTATATTTTTTTAAATAAAATTAAAACTTTGTTCAATATTGTCAAACATTTGAACGAATCAAAAGTATGTTGAAGTTGAACGTTTCATCGAAATAAATGTTAGTCATATTAATGCCAGCGGGCCTTGTGAGCTTGATAATTTGACTGGATTAGGGTAACACCATATGTCTAATTTCAAAGAAAAACAATCTTTTAATTTCTAAACATTGAGCCCACAGTTAGATGACTTACCCATCAAGCAAGAGGCGAAAACTTCGATTTCTTCTTAATTATACATATGGGGCTTCAATAATATCAAATAATGAAAAGATTCTGAACTGGGATCGCGATTTTTTTCTGCTGTTGATTCAAAACTGAGTATAGAAAACTAAATCAAGATATTCACAACTCTCTTCTCTACCTAAGGTAAAATCCTGAGAGAATAGTAAAATGCTATAATATTCTTTGCGTACAGTGACTTATTAATAATGCAACTGTTTTGAACTTCATTTTTATTTTAGTTTTATTTTGTAATATCTCGACCCTTCATACGATCATTTTCAAACGTAAAACTGATTGTGAAATTGTTCAGAAAATATTTAAATGTGTTAAAACATCCCAAAGTAGATTCCTCGCACTTGTTAGTTCTCCAGTTTGTTCTTGTAATCAATAATCCACCAGACACATTCCAGATCGTAACCACTGTCATTACTCATTTAATTGAGATCACAACTACAGGACGAGGAGATAAACCAGCAAAGCTGCTAGGGTTTCGAGTATATAAATTTCACGCGTCCTTCTTTCGAAAATAATTCGGGGTTTCTCAAAATCGTAATCTATGTACACAAAAGATCATTCATTAATCATGTGTCTAACTTAAGTTGTTGTTTATAAAGTATTAATGTCTCGAAAAACTGAAATCAAAATCGAGGAAATTATATTTTTAAAGATCGACATTATTGTTCAGATTTAATCAATGTAATCATTAGACAGACTTGAAGTCATCCAGCTACATATGTGTATCAAAGTCAGAATGCTAACTAATGTTTTTCAAATAACATTTCCAAATCGGCACTAAATCTTAAAATTAAATTACTTCGTTCATGTTCAGAATGTAATGGATCTAGAAATTTTAACATATCAGATCGATAATGGTCGTAATGCTGAAATAAAGAGAAAAAAAGTGAACAAATTATTACTAAAATTCTTGTTGTTTGGATAAAAGTTCACATATAGTTTACCTTATGCTTGGTATTAAGCAATTCTTTGAGCGCTCTTCCATTTATCTTCGATAGACCAAATAAAAATCTGAAAAAACAAGCGGATTTTTATTCAACATACAAATATAGATAATAATAGACTGTTTTCCTACAGTTCAAGTTTTCTCTCGCTAAGCCAGGCTTCCACTTGATCCGAATTCCATTTTAATGGATCTTGATCCTGGGAAGACAATATTCTAAAGCAATTTGATATTGAATTATCTAAAAGATATTCAATTATAAATTCAGAAATGAGTTAGAGAGAATTGAACATACCTGGACTATCATCATCACGTATTTTTTCGTTACAGGATAATATTTTTTCAATATTTAAAATTTCTCCAACTAATTCTTTCATGGCATCGTCAAAAAATTGTTTGTCAAAATCTATGTAAATTTTTTCACCGAATAAAACTCCTAACCAATCTTCAGCGGCATAATTTGATTCTAACAGGCAAGGTATTATATGTCGTCTCAGTTTGCTTGTATATGCAGCTTCTAAAACATAATGAACGACATTTGTTCTATTTGGTCACATAAAAACAATTGGCTCTTTCGGATTTTTGCTTATAACACCTTTCTTTTCAACTTTGTGACGCGACTCTTTTTCAGAAAGATGTCGGTTTGAATTCTCTATAAGATCATAGCAAAAATCTGTTTATTATTCAATTTGTGTTCGTGATTTTATACAGCAAATACTACTAGTGGATCGATTTTTCCAGGGATTCCTCTTGAACTTTTTAATGACAGAAAATTCTCAAATGCCCGATGAAACACAGAAGTACATTTTTTGATAGTAATTGATCCGTTTCATAGACTTAGCGATTGGTCGTTTCACAAACGTGTCCCAGACTTGTCTGTTTACAATAAGAATGTAAGAAACTAAATATCATGTTTAGTCTATTTCCGGTTACATCTCTCTAGGACTAGATAGGAGTGGCACTTTCTCATTTCTTTCTCACAAAAACAAAAGTAAAACCTGACTTTTCTTTCTTCTGGAAAAGAAAAGTTTTTACTTTCCTACTGTTCTTTCTGAAAAGAAGGACAAGGAAACTATGATATAACTTTCTTTTGTAGTTTTTTCATTATGAAAACCAGGCGCATATGATCAGCGTTGAAAACTGAATCGAGTGATGTGTTTTGCTAAAACTTCCCACAACATTTCTGTTTTCGCAAAATACATCACTCGATTCAGTTTTTTTTTCACCATTTTTCACTGAGCTGCAACACTCTCTTCGAATACCATGAAACTGAAAACCGAAAATTAGCACACTATTGACTAGAAGTCTATTTAAAAGCAACATTCTGTAAATCTACCAAGATAACTTCGAAAAACGGAACCGGTATATTCAATTGGAATGAGTTTTTTGATAGATTTCTTAGTGCAACTTTTAATTTAAGGAAGGATCAACCCCCATTTTATTGGAATGTCCGATCACCGTCGCGGCAGAGTTATTTTGTAGACAATCTTTGTTTGTATATAATATGCTTTAAAAAGTTTTCGAACGACATAGGTTTTTAAGTGAAAAATTGTAAAAAGAGTGTTTTTTCTACTTTTAAGCATAAAAAGTAATTTTTGAAAGCCTTGCCAGCGATTGCGCGATAACAAAGAATTTCTGAGAAAACTTTTCGCTAGCGAAGTTGTAGTTGATGTCATTCTGCATGGCATAAGCGGAACGGAATTTCAAGAAAAAATTTTGAACAGAAGTTAAACGAAAATTAAAACATTTTTAATTTTGAAAGTTTTTAATTAATAATTTTTTGAAGTTTTTTTCATTAGAAAAAAAACCTATTTCGCTTATTCCACGTAGAATTTCATAGGGAACAACTTTTGTTGCAACAGTTTTTATGAGATATGCTTTGCGTAGTCAGAATCCGTGGCAAGGTTTTGGAATGCATATCCTTGCAACAAGGACTTCCGAAACCCCCAGCAATTATTGTCACAATCAATAAGTTTTAATTATAACATAGTGGCCAGACAGTCCACAGCGCTCTCTACAACTGCGCAAGGCCGATCTCTCCATCTGTTGTGATTCTCGAATGGCAGTCATTTTCCTGAGTCATC